CCCCAACTTTTTATCTAATTTTTAGATGGAATTTGGACTTAAATTTTTAGATATGTAAAGTCTAACATGGAGATCATTAATATGTAAAAATAAATTAATTAATTAAAAGCGATAAGGATAATTTTTTGGAGAATTTTTGAACCGTTAATTTTATTCATAACCACAACTTTACATCCATCTTAAAGATGAATTTTTGATACCTCAAGGGACGCAAATGTAGATATGCGTCCCCCTACTCAAACTACTTCGATCATAAATTGGCTTAGTATAATATCAAACTGTAGTTTTTTAATACCATAATTCTAGTATACCACAATGTCGTATGCACCACAGTTTCACATATTCTAAAGAAATAAATCTATAATATACCACAGAGAGGAGCAGCAGTTCAATTAATAGTATAGCTCCGCTCCTTGGAGGGATCCTACAAGCATGTAAATCGAGATCCCATTTTCTACGGAGCAAGATCACTATTTCTCTAAATCCAGCTCCCTCTAAGATCCCCCTAAAGGAACCACAGGATCAAGTTCCTAAGATGGGACCGTGGCCTTAACCCCAAGTTGCAGGGGTGTGAAGTATTACAATAAATGTGTCTTGGGCTGAATGGGCTATACAAAATTGTTTCCATGCATGCAAAAGATTTCAAAATTAGCTTTAGGTAGCTTTAGGATCTGGGTGCTATCTTTCTTGGCATAGTCAAACCATTAAGAAACTCAGGCATGGTCAAACCATTAAGAAACTCAGGCATGGTCAAACTATCAATAAACTCAGTCTTTCTTTTTCTTCCCATACCAAGGTGTCTGGAATTACATTGGCTTTTCGCAATACCTGGCTGAAGGAGATTGAGAGGTGTAAGGCTAGGTCTAATATTTCCAGGAATAAACATGCTGAGCACAGGGGAAGCCATCATCCACGATAGACCGCCGAGTTGTGGCTGAATCCCCCTCAACCAAGAAGTTCCCGAGGTTCGCTTAAAGAGTCTCAGACGTTCAAGCATGGCTTGGACCTCTGCTTTGGTAGCGTCACAAAGGCTAGCAAGTCCTAAGGATGAAGGGAGGATCTCGCCCCTTTGGTCTCAAAAAAATCCCCCAAAGCCCTAAGGCCCAGGGTTATCCCAGGAGCTACTGTCCAAGGTTAGTTTGACAGATCCTTGAGGGGTGGCTGTCAGTTGCTTGGCCTAAGCTGTTTATAGTCTCAAATCTGAGGTATGGCATTCCATTGGATCAGCAGATTGCAAAATGAGTATCCCCAGGTCTCTTCATGTCAAAGCCCAAAAGATGGTGAGATTTGATTTTACCAATCACAGTTGAACCAGCAGATCACAAAATGAGTATCCCCAGAACTTTTTTATTGCCAAAGGCCAAAAGAGGGTGAGAGATATTTGATTTTACCAATCGTAGTTGAACTGTTTGAGGAAATGCCCAAACCTAAATGGCCTACTGCAGGCGGATGATCCATTTTAGCATAACTGTATTTGAAGAAGCCAACAATCTCATTGACAACCTCATCAAACCCTCAAACTGTGATTTGTTCATTCATCGAGATAAGATCAGATAACATTCTGGCAACACCTTGCCCTAGACATCTCATGGAAGATAGAGTTAATTACATGTGCCCCTAACTGCCTCACTCCCATGCACGGGGGCACATATGCCCACACACACACACACACACAGAGAAGAAAGAAGGAAAAGAGAAAAGGGTAGGTGCTAATCACATCACCACACAGTACCCTATCATCATGAGGCAATTCCTCCTACTTAATGCCATTTCACCTCCACTCCTAGCAAATTTGCCACCTCTTCACTCACTCACCACTACCAAAGAGACACCACCTCTCTACAACCATCCTTGTGCCACCCACCGACCTTCTCTTTTTACAAAAATCCTCTCCTAATGTCGTCAACCCTCCACCACATCCTCTTTCCAAAAACCCCATGCTAATTTCCTCAAGTAGGGTATCCTCCCTTCCTAAACATATAGAAGGTGGAAGACTAGTCACCAAACAGTGGTGGAGAAAAGCGTCTAGGTATCAGGCAATGATAAGTGAGTGAATAACACCGGTAAGTAAGGCAAAGGAGCACACATTGGTGATGTGAGGGGTCATAACTCATGACGTGGAAATGAATTGATCCAAAGGCATCAAAATTTCCAAAATGCCTTGGGACTGTCCACTATATCAAGAATAAGACAAATAAATTTCCATTGGGTATTATGAAGAGGAACAGTTAGGAGGAGAAAAGGTATAGTCATAATTTCCTAATTATCAAATAAAAGCTGACAATTTGATATTTAAATAACACACACAAACTGTCCTCAGAGATAGAGGCTATTAAAATATACAGAAATTTTTAATGAGGACTCAAATCCATGCTTGAGAAAACTTTGTAGTCAGGAACAACAACGGCAACAACAAGTAGCAGCGGCGGCGGCAGCAGCAACACTAGTAGCAGTAGTAGTGGTACTAATTGTAATACAACAACAACAACGATGACAACCATAACAATAACAATAACAGCAATAATAGCTGAAAGCATCACAGACCGCTACACATTAAACTAAAAGGAGATGTCAAATTTGACAATATTTACACCACAATTATTGCTCAATAAGAGGCCAGAGAAAGTGACAAAAGTCTATTAATCATTACTGTGATATTCAACAAGCGTAAACATTAAATCAAAATTCAAATTAATAGGAAAGGCCATGCCCCCATAGTATTGCTATTCCCACACAGAAAGAAGAAGAAAAAACACTAGCCTGCAATAAGTGCTGAGATATTTGCATTTTTGGCATGGGATACCAAAAATATAGGTAAAGATAGAGATTCCTAAAAACACAACAGTCCATAAAAGAAAAAAATTTATGATACAAATCTCACAAGCAAAGTATCTTATAAATCAATTCTCTATACAATACAAAAATGAATTACTTTTTATGTGAGATTTGTCTATACAAATATTGTAACCTCATATGACAAATTAAATGGATAGGACAAAAAGGGAGACAGCAATTTGTAAGGAGACAATCCTTCTATAGTGCAAAGAAGAGTAGAAGACAACGTCATTGAACCTGCGACATAAGGTACTATGCCATCTAAAATGCAAATAACAGCCAAGAAAACTCCAGGTCTAATGGATTAGCATGAATTGCAATGATTAAGTACAAAGACCTCCAAGTCACCGAATGTCACAGCTCATACCAGTCAACTGAAAGGCCCACATAACCAGACCACATAAATTAAACAACCAATGAAAGGATGAGAACATGAGTACAAAAGGCGGTAGTTTTTACATGTTAGAGGAGGAAAAAATCATTATTACAATATGGCATGCTTAAAACCTTCTTGCACACCTATGGTCATGTTATCCCCGCAATCTGGGCTTGAATCCAAATACCACTTGATGCTATCATGGTAGTACCCATCAACAGGCATCCCAACGAGATGTTCATCCACAACAATAGGCATATCATGCCTCATATCCAAGTTGGCTTCTTTACAAATTTTGGCACCACCACAAGGAAGCAAAGCTTTATCATCAAACCCCGCGCAAGGCTCCTTAACAGGCAAATCCCATTTTCCCATCTTACTGTTTCCAGAACAACCAACATCAGAAAGTGCTCCCTCATTTAACTTCCCCTGATCCCTTTTCCTCGGAGATAAGCAACTATTTGGGAAACAATTTTCCCCATCAATAAAAGATCCAGCCCTACTATTATTTTTACATTCAGGATTTTCAGCCCACTCATTGAGACTGTTTGGCTCATTGACAAAACCTTCCTCTGAGTGTTGCTTCCCCAAAAGCAATTCTTCGCGATCATTAACCTCCCCAAAACTTCGTAGTCTCTGACTTACCGCACAAAGCTCATGCGACAATGTTCCCAGCATTTCCTCAGAGAATTCCGGTATCTTTGCTTCAATGCACCCAAGCTCTTGCTTGAACTCTTCAATCTGCCTCATCACAGTCAAACGAATGTCAGAGCCCTCATCATTTTCAATCACAGTAAAGGTTTCCCCTTCTTCCCCTTCTTCACCAATACAAACAATCCCCTGCTCTATTGCAATATTGGCAGGGGCCACAAACCGATGAATTATCCTAGCACTACCTTCATGGGGTCCAGGTTCATGCCCCGAATGGACAGCATAAAGCTTGAAAACAGCCTTACCATCATCTTCATAAGAAAATGTCCTATCTTTCTGATTATAGTCCTTTATAGGTACAATTGCCCTTATTCGAAACCCACAACCACACCTTTTAGAACTATATCTCTTCCTCTTCAAGAGCCCAGGCTTCTTCATGTTGGGCTCTCCTGCCCTATGGCAACAATAATCCTTAACCTCTGCCATAAATGGCTTGTATCGAATATACTTTTGCCTGATGCATAGAACCACTTTGTGCTTCAAAGCCAATTGTTGGAGCTTTTGGGGAACCTCTTTAGCAGGGATCTCAAAAGTGTCTGTGTACTCAAACCTCCGCCTCTTTGATCGAGCCTGAGAAGAAGGCCCATCAGAGCAACAAATCCTACAATTTGATAAACAAGCCCTTATAAAGGCCTCAGGGATACCATAAAACTTAGCACCCACTGTCCAAACCTGCTTAATCTTATCGATGGTTTCTTTCAAACCCAAGTGTTTCAATTCAGAGACTGAGTGATAACCCATTGCAATATCCTGCCATTGGTTTATATGGGGCACATACTGATTTGGGTTGTTCTTGAAATACAAAAGCTCATTGCCAAACTGGTCTATATTAGCTTTGAGTTTGTCTTGGATTCGTTTCCAGCCTGTTGTGTATGCAGTGTCTTCATTTCGATCCTTCCAAACAGTGCGCCATGAAGCAAGAACAGAAGGCGGGGTAACAGATTTGATCTCTTCAGGGGTCGGGTATTGGTACTGCTGTATGGAATGGACCATGAGGTGGTGAGAATCTCTATTAAAGGTGTAAAACTGGTTTGAAAGATACGGTTCAGGGTCAATATAGTAGTCAGATGCAGACATGGAGGCTGCATCAGACTCCTCGATGTCATTGTCTGCTTCTTCCTCAATAGAGCTTGTAGATGGGGAAATTAAGTTTTGGACGAGCTCATAGTGATCAGACATGGTGGAAATTAGCCCCAACGAAGACTTTTTTTGTTTTGGAATGTTTAACCCCAACGAAGGCTAGGTTCAAATGTTTACTTGCGTGACCAGACGGTAAAACATTACACACACGCACAGAGAGAGAGAGAAATGCCGAGTCTTTAAAATGCGTTGGTAAAGTAGAATTGGGAATTGCGGGCCAGAGAGAGAAGGAAACTTTCCAAGCTATGATGACTTTAGGGTTTGGAAGTGAAGAGGCAAAATAAATCTAGAGATCAAATTCCTGGTGAAAAACCTTTCCTGTGGTGAATTTAAGGTCCATAACCATCACAAAGCCTATCATTGGTGGGAATGGGGGAAAATGCATAGCTGCTGAGAATCAGGGTTTCAAGCGTTCTTTCATTTAAGAAAATAACAGCAGAAAGAGAGAGGAAAAGAACAGCAGAGAGAGAGAGAGAGAGGTGCAAAATTCTACGGCAAAAACTCAGCAACAAAAACCTGTTTAAAACTGCGACGGAGGTATCCTAACCCGAAGTAGAGGAAACACACAAGCTTAAAAAATTAGGGCTTAGTACATGCTTCACAAAACAGACGTATCCTTCAAATTTCCCAATTGAAACCCGAAGCTCAAGGATACTGGTGTTTAAGCCAAAGAAACAGAGCAATAAAATACAGTGGCTATAGAACCAGAGAGCTCTCCAGAGAAGAGCGTAGCTTTTACCAAACCTAGCAATATGGGGCCCAAACTCCTCAGCAGAATCCTCAACCTTAAGAAATTAGGGTTTCTAACTCCATTTTCTTAACCACGATCACCATCTCACCACAAATTCCCTGCCTACACAACTGGGCTTTCGAAGGTCATTTTGCTTGAAATAACACACGTAATTATGCAACAAAAACCCCAAGCCATAGAAAAATTACGGTTTCAGGCAAAAGAGTTCACGTAAAGGCCCTTACCTGAAAGAAAGAGAGAGAGTGAGAGAGGGCCTGGCCATGGAGTACAGCGAAACTGGAGACCTCGAGCTCTAAAGTTGCAGAGAGGGGCCTTATAGTCATTTGAGGAAATCTTTTAGAGAGAGAAAGAAAAAGAGTGAGGACCATGCTTTGGATTTTCTCACTTATAAGACGTGTACAGGGAAAGCCCAGTGAACAAAAAGCGCCCTTGACACAGTTAAGGGGTGAACAGATGAACAGACTGCTAAATGCCACTGAGTAATACGAATATTACCAGAATACTAACAATGCATGTGCTAAAACGTGTCGACAAGATTGCCATCGTCTTTTCGGAATCTGACCAAAAAGCCCCTCTGTGTTTTGGATAAACTGAGAACTGAAAATGAGCTGTTATTGACCTACTACGAACTGGAAAATTATTATATCACTCGAACAAAAATATATGTGGTATCTTTTTAAAAAATAAATAAATAAATAAAATGATCTGGATCGGGATAACCCAACCTGGAAGGAGTTAGGGAACGAGTGGTGCCCGTCTCTCTTGACGGCCTTAATTGGTACCACTAGTATGTAACTCCTAAAAGAGATTGGCACCACTTGTCCCCAACTCAATTAAGGCCGGCAACAGGGCAGGCCTGTGTTGGCCTTATTTCTTGGTGGGGGTGGGGGTGGGGGTGGGGGTGGGGGCAGGGGCAGGGGCGGGGGGAAGCCCCCAGCTTGGCCCTGTCTCATTAGTTTGGGCTGGCCAAACTAGGTCGAGCTTGTCTTGCTTGGCCCATGCCCTAATTCTTTTAAAGCCGAGCCGATTGCCATCCCCATTTATAGTGTTGGGAGTCGGACTAATCTTAACTAGAAATCACTTATTCTTATTAGAAATTGTGGTCAAAGAGATTAATAGCCTTCAACTTTCTAATATAAGAACCCAACCCATGATTTTTTTGGTTTGGAAATAGAAAAACAGTTTTATGCATGTTGGACCATATTTCTATATATGTGGTCCCAAGGCATCTATCTTAAAGATGGTTGCAAATAGGTGGTTCATTTAAAAACAATTGCTATTTCTAATTTTCAAATTTTATTTACTTTTCTATATTCATGATCTCCATGTTAGTGTTACATGTCCTTAAAGTTAAATCCAAAAATCTATCTTAAAAATAAATTTTTAAGAGGTGACTCATTCTACATGGACTCATGATCTCCATGTTAGAGATCAAAATATAATTTTGTTTTATCCAGGGTTATAAAAAATGCCGAGTCGAACCGGACTCGCCTGGTTCGACTCGGGAATCAGCACTGGCTGTGCCGGTTCCGGCATTATACAAGGAATCGCCCGATTCCAAAGAGAACTGAACGATTCTGTAAAGTGACTCGTTGATTCACTGTACGAAATCAGCGAGTCCCGTGAAGAACACGGGCTGCACAGTGTGCTTCACGGGTTTCTTCAAATTTTATCTTTTTTTTATCATTTTTCTTCTTTTTTTTGCCATGTGATCGAATATTCAGGCTTTATGCAGCTTTTTTCAGCCTTTTCATGGATTAAATGGTGGAGAAATTTCATGTTTTTTTATCATGAAAGTTGCGGGTTTTAGGGTTTCTGCTATTTCTTTTGTTTCATGCCAAATAGGGCATGAATCTGAGAAAATTTTGAGGCATATTGATCGTAATTGTGTTCATCAAAACATTCTGTTACGAATTTATGATAATCTTTGAGAAAAATAGATTAATTTGGAGATTTAAACTACGGGTTCACGAAACCAGGTAAGAACTCTGCGATTTTTTTTTTTCCGCCATTTCATCAATTTCAGTCCATATTTTGAAAATAATCAGTTAAATTTGTAGGGTTTTGAATCTTTATCGTGTCTTTTATCATTTACCATATTCAATTTTATTTAATTTACTCAATTACAGCCTGAGTTTTTAGAAGAACATAGTGATGTCTGTGAAAAAAAATTTCTACTGTTTTTTTTTTTTTCCGCCTTTCGATCTATTGTTCACGATATATTACAAATAATGTGTTAGATTTCTAGGGTTTTTAATCGTTATAGTCTTTTTTATAATCAGATGTATTCAATTTGATCTAATTTATTCAATTTGAGCTTCATTTTTTAGATTCAATGACTGTTGTCTGTGAAGAACTACGTTTTTTTTTTTTTGCTCAATTTAATCGATTTGATTTGATTTATTGATGATAATGTGTTCATAATTTAGGGTTTTGATTCCTTATATTGTTGTTTATCAAAACATGTACTCAATTGGATGTAATTTATTCGTTTGGAGGTGGATTTTTGAGTTGATAAAAAGATGTGGAAATCGTGACGAGGTTTTGATTATCATGAAGTATTATACCATATTTTTAATTTTAAATGTTTGAGTTTGTTGTACGTTTTTTTTTTTTTTATCCATGATCGAATTTTTTGGAAAATGATGATTTTCTTAAAAAATGTGAAAATCGTGACTAGGTTTTGATTATCATGAGGTATTAAACCATATTTTTAATTTTTATTGTTAAAGTTTTTGTTGAAAAAATTGTATGTTGATAGATTATTTATGCAAAAAAAATGCATGTTATTATATTTTTAATGCAAAACTATATTTTTTAAATTTGTTGTTAATGCATTTTGAGTTGGAATGACTGATGTTAGGTGGCTCTGTGAAGAATTGTTTTTATTTGTTTTTTTTATTAATACATGATTGATTATTTTTGAAAAATCGTGATTTTCGGAAAAGATGTGAAAATAGTGACCAGGTTTTGATTATCATGAGGTATTAAACCATATTTTTAATTTTTATTGTTAAAGTTTTTGTTGAAAAAATTGTATGTTGATAGATTATTTATGCAAAAAAATGCATGTTATTATATTTTTAATGCAAAACTGTATTTTTTTAATTTGTCGTTAATGCATTTTTTAGTTGGAATGACTGATGTTAGGTGGCTCTGTGAATAATTGTTTTTTTTTTAGTACATGATCAGTTTTTTTTTGAAAAATCGTGATTTTCCGAAAAGATGTGAGAATAGTGATCAAGTTTTGATTATCATGAGGTATTAAACCATATTTTTTATTTTTATTGTTAAAGTTTTTGTTTAGGGTTTAGGGTTTTCCTTCTTGTGGCACTTTGTCCTAAAAAACAGGTAAGAACTCGATCATCCTTGCTTCTTCCAAGTGGTAGGGAGGTCCCTGTCTTGGTTATCTTTAGATTTTCATTGCCCCAAATTGGTATTGGATACTTCCTTGACAAGGGTTGTCGAATTCTTATGAAATCTTCTTTCCTTGGATTGCTTCACTCGAGCCTCGATCTTCAGACTCGGAGTCACTCTCAACTTCATAATCCTTCAATCTCTTATTGGGTCGACTAAACTCAAACTTTTTATTTTTTATGGCAATAATCTTTTATTTATTTATTTCTACAATAAATGCTTGTCGTATTACTTTTTTTTTTTTTACAAGAAATACTTGTTTTATTACCTTTTTTTTTTTTTGAAAAGAATATTATATTTTTTTTACAATAAAATTTTAATTTTTAACAAAAAAGGAAATTTTATTGTATTACCTTTTTTTTTTTTTACAAGAACCTTATAATTTTTTTTACAAGAAAATTTTATACTTTTATTTTTTTGACAACAAAAAGAAACTTTGTTGTATCACTTCTTTCTTTTTTGTTGTTATAAGAACCATATTTTTTTTTACAAAAAGCTTTTATTTTTTTGTATAAAAAAATTTATTTTGTAAAATAAAATTTTTATTTGTTTGTGAGGGAATGATGGAACATAGCTAGGAGTTGATCCCGCGACGTCCAAAACAGTAAACGACACACTAACCACCACGTCAAACATTAATTTATAATATTGGTAGGCAATTTAATAATTATATTATATCACTTTCTCAGCTATTACCTTACTACAATTATCCCACATCGAACCCACAAAAAAAAATTTGTGAGAATAAATACTATTCTGCTAATGTTACTATTTGCATGCAAAACGCATGCATGTGGGACATGTGACGAGGGACACATGACGTTTAACAGTAAATGCGAGTAAAAACTTATCATTGTACATAATTGTTGTGATACAAAATCGTCGGTTCCTCGGGTGGCGATTTACTGTACAGAATCGCGGCGATTCTGTTCCCCGATTCATGACGTCACCTAGCGATTTATTGTACAGAATCGTTGGTTCCCCGATTCATGACGTTACTCGGCGATGATTTACAGTTCCCCTGTTCATGACGCCAGTTCCTCGGTTCATGATGTCACACGGGATGTCACCCGACGATTTATTATACAGAATCGTCGGTTCCCCAATTCATGATGTTACCCGGCCGATTCATGATGTCACTCGAGATGTCACCCTGCAATTTATTGTACAGAATTGTCGGTTCCCTGATTCATGACGTTACCCAGCGATGATTTACAGTTCCTCGGTTCGTGACGTTACCCGGCGATGATTTACAGTTCCCGGGTTCATGACGCTAGTTCCCCGATTCATGATGTCACCCGAGATGTCACCCAACGATTTATTGTATAGAATCGCCGATTCCCCGATTCATGACTTCACCCCAGAGATTACCCGGGATCTCACCTGACGATCTATTGTACAGAATCGCTAATTCCTCGATTCATGATGTCACTCGGCGATTTACTGTGCAGAATCTCCGGTTCCCCTATTCATGACGTTCACCCCAGCGATTTACTATATAGTACTGATTCAAAAGTCGACGAGTCGTCCTATTCGACTCGCTAACCGGTGAAATAACGAAATCGTCGGGTTCTTTAGAACCAGCGATTCCATGCAGTAAATAGCCACGTGACGTCATGATTATCCTGATTCTTCAGTGGCCATTTTTGTAAATCTTGTGCATTTTTGTAAAGTACATGTACCTTAAGGTCTGCACATCTTGTCACGTGACTCTCCTCACTTCACACGCGTTATCCTCGTTAACTACAAAGAGGTATTTGTGCACTACAACTTCCTTCTACCTCTTCGATGTGGGATAATGTGAAGGTATTAACTTAAAACATTAATATATTATATATTTTGTTTGCGCTTTTAATACTATTAAGTAGCATGTGGCTACTAGTTATAAATTTCTTTTGGCTTACGGAGGGTGTGGGTTCGATCCACCTTGGGACGAAAGGGGGTTTTCTTATAAACTATTTTTCTTGTCAATTTTATTTTTTTGAGGTCAAATTTTTTTCTTATAAATTTTTTTTCTTGTCAATTTTATTTTTTTGAGGTCAAATTTTTTTTTATAAAAAAAATGAGAGGTTTTTTTTATCAATTTCACTTTTTGTCAAATTGTTTTATTATCAAAAAATAAAAGGTTTTTTTATCAATTTCGCATTTTGTCAAATTTTTTTCTTATCAATAAAATAAAAATTTTCTCATAAAAAAAAATGAAAGGTTCTTATCAATTATTTTTCTTGTCAATTTTTTTTTTTTTGTCAAAAAAATAAAAAAAATTTGTCAAAAAAAAAAAAGTAATAAAAAGTTATTGTCAAAAAAAAAAAGTCCTTATAAAAAAATAATACTACAACAAGTATTTTTGTCATAAGAAACAAATGAAAGGTTTTTTTTATCAATTTCGCTTTTTGTCAAATTTTTTCTTATCTGAAAAATGAAAGGTTTTTTTTATCAATTTTGATTTTTGTCAATTTTTTTTCTTATCAATGAAATAAAAAGTTTCTTATAAAAAAACATGAAAGGTTATTATCAATCATTTTTCTTGTCAAATTTCTTTTTTTTGTCAAAAAAAATAAAAGGTTTTTGTCAAAAAAATAAAAAGTAATAAAAACGTATTGTCAAAAAAAAAAGTTCTTATAAAAAAATAATAATACAACAAGTATTTATTGTAAAAAAAAAAGGTTCTTGCTAAAAATAAAAAAAAATGTAATACGACAAACTTTTCTTGTAAAAAAGTAAAAGGTTTTGTCAAAAAAACTAAACGTTATTTATTGTAGTCCATGTGATTATATATTTCATCCTTGATAGTTTTAAGATTTTTATTTTGTGTGATGTAATTTAATGGTTAAAATAAGTTCATATGGAGAAAAAATATCTCAATATTCACATATTGATGAAAAAAATAAAAATTCATGCTATAGTATCCCGATTTTTTATTGGCGTTCTAAAAAACAACATTTATAATAAATTTTAATAAATTTTTTATATTTTTTTTTACAGCTTAATCCGACCGATTTGGCCGATTCCCGATCCCGATGGGTTTTCGAGGTGCCCGATCTGGGCCACCGATCTGTTTTTTAAACCACTGTTGTATAGAATCGTCAGTTCCCCGATTCATCCCCGGTTCACGATGTCAACCGGCGATTTATGCTGGTTCCCCGATTCATAACGTCACCCAACGATTTACTGTACATAATTGTCGGTTCCTCGATTCATGACGTCACCTGATGATTTACTCTACAGAATCGTCGATTCCCCGATTCATGACGTAACCCGGCGATTTACTGTACATAATCGCAAGTTCTCCAATTCATGATGTCACCCGGCGATTTACGACGATTTAACATACATAATCGCCAGTTCCCCGATTCATGACGTCACCCGGTGATTTACTGTACAGAATTGCGGTTCCCAGATTCATGACGTCACCCGACGATTAATTGTATAGAATCGCCGCCTACGATTCATGACAACATGCGTGTATAGAACCCGGTGATTCATGATATCCTCGATTCATGACGTCACTCGACAATTTCTAGAGAATGGCCGATTCTTCTCTAGAACCGGGCGATTCTCTGTTTTACAAAAGAGAAGAACCGGGCGATTCTCCGTTTTACAAAAAAATCGACACGAGATGCGACTTTTAAAACACGGGATGAAATAATTCCTCCTTTTATTGAAAATAATATAATTTGATATATATATACAAATAATTACATTTATTATCCAAAAAATAATATAATTCAATTAAAAATTATTTCTTGCCTCTTTGCAACATAAAAAATTAAAATATCACATAATAGTAAATATATATTTTTTACAAAAAAATTATTATCCAAAAATGATATAATGTGAGATTTTTCTCTTTTCCTATTCTTACATTTTTCCTATTTTGTCTTTTTTGCATCTTCCAAGATCTAAACCGAAATTAAAAAAACAAAAAAAAGTGAAAAAATTGGTGCAACCATCTTCGGTTTTCTTTTTTTTTTTTCTACATCTTCTTCGGTTTACCCTGGCCCCGGCTTGAATTAATAATAACTAGGCCCAAGCCCAATTTGGCCCCAAATAAATCTGATTATAGAGTGCATAAACTATCCTCCAATCGGGGCAATATTATACACTTACTCTATCAGGTAAAAGACTAACTTAGGAAAGTTTTTTTTATCCAAAATTTTGCAAAGCACCTCAAAATCAATAAATGATTATATTTTAAAGAAGAAAAAAAAATGAATTTTGGGCTTTTTAACACTTGGATCATAGCCTTCAAGGTTTCTTTTCACTATTGAGGCATTACTTTTTCTCAATCCGATAGAATGTAATTAAAATATTTTTTAATTAAATATAACAAAACGTATAAAAGTGAAAGGCTCTCATGGGCAATGAAAATGTCTAAAAAGACCATGAATGGAGTAGTGAGAAACCATATGGTGACCTATGGTCTAAGTAAGAGTAGAACCCTTGACATAGTAGAATAGTGAAACAAGATTCAAATAGCATATCCGAATTATAGTGAAACAAAATTCAAATAGCGTATCCTAAATAGTTTGGATAATGCTAAAATGAGAATGAGTTATGGAAACCATGTCAAACTCTACTTTCGAGGCATCCTCCGAATGAGTATTTTTTAAACCACACCCTTAACACCATAAATATTTTATTTTTGTTACAAAGCCCCCCTAAGTTAAAAAAATTATATTTGTAAGGATGAAAATACCCCATTCGATATATATTTTCATCACGTTTCCATCATTTATTGTCACACGTACGAGTTTCTCTACATGGAACCGCCTTTTGGTGCAAAAATATGTTACTCCGGTTCAAATGTGTTGAATTGGCACAAAAAATTGTGCATTAGAGCCAATCTGCCGGTTCGACACAAACCGTCTCTGGATGAAAGTTGTGCTCGTCTCGAGAGAGACAATGGGAAATGAAACAAAAAGAGACCGTATTTTTGTCTAAAAAAGAGTCCTTTTGTATTTAAAGGGTGTTTGACAAAAAAATAAAATAACATTAAATCAATAGTATGATATCAAAATTTTTAGTGGGAGGACGCTTAGAAAATATAAATTGGGGAAGTATCCATAATGTTCCCAAATTTTGGATATATTGGATTTTACATGAGGGAGTAAATGGACAGCATGCTCCCTAGTATAAAACCATTCTTTTTTTTTTTTATCCGTTCTGCGTCAGACAAACCAAGCCGGGCCACAGGGCGATCCCATTAACACCTCCGAAAACACCGCCATCTCCAAAATATGAAGGTTCCAAAAGCATGAACTAGTCATATATAGAATGGAAAGTGTAAAAAATATATTTTAAAATATATTTAATTTTTTATATTTATGATGGCTTAGATGATTAATTTTTAAAATTTTAAATGAAAAATCCATTTTAAAAATAAATTTTAGAGGAGGACCCACGTATACATCCGAGTCGGCTGACTGATATGAACCCGATCCTACATAGATAGCCCAAAGCCCCAAACACCCCATTTTTTGGAGAGAGAAAGTCCAAATACAAAAACCCAAAAATGCCCCTCACCTTTCTCTTCTTATAGAGGGAGAAAGGTGGGAAACAAAGGAATCGAACGCGCACGTGTTAATTCGTGCAACGCCATGGCTTCCGCAGCGGAGACGGAGGAAGTCTCTGTTTTCAAATCCCAGCATCTCTCTAGGATTGAACCAGGAAGAGAGGCGGATGAATTAGGATTTTTCGAGCCCATCCATTCTGTTTCTGACCATGACTTCCTCACAATCCCCAACTACTCGAGTAAGTCGATCGAAATCTCTGCCTCGTTAGGGATTCATTACACTTTGGCCTGTTGATTGATTTTCTACTGCAGTTAGGGTTATAAAAAATTTCTTAAGAGTTTCCTTCGTTTTTAGCTTTATTTATTAGGTTTGCAGTGGACTTTAGCAATGAGTATTAGGGTTTATGCCTGTTTCTTTCCTCTGTGATTGTGTATGGGAATCTTGCGTTATAACTCTCGCATTCGTTTTAAGGTAATATTGCAAATACTGGCGCAATTAACATTCGTAAGTTGAAGGAAAAGAAAAATCTTTATCTTTCTTTTCTTTACAATTGCTCGTGCTCAATCTGAACTCCTTTTTTTTTCTTAATGGGTTACCCATTGTAGAAATTATTACTGAATTTTTTCTAGCGTAGCCATTAATGCTGCTAGTTAATTCCCATTTCTTGATGAATATCTCTGTTCAAACCTGAAATTTCAAACTTGCAATGACAAGCACCGTCTAGTTGGTATTTTTGCTCTGTTTTCTTGGGGTTGCAAATTTGCCTTTAGAGCTTGATCTTGGGGGGTACCATGTATTTCTTTTATTTTGGCTTTTAAGCTTCCTTTGCACCCTCTTATGCCCTTTACTCATTTTCAAAGGAGAAAAATGGAAGGAAAATGAATTACTCCTGATGGTTTTATCTAGTAGTTTAAAAAATGGATCGGTGCCCCTGATCGGGCACTCCAAAAACCCATCCGGATCGGTGAATCGGCGATCCAGATTAGGAATCGGCCGAATCGGTCGGATTTAGCTTTAAAAAAAATCCGAAAAAATTATTAAACTTCATTATAAATATTGTTTTTTAGGAATCCAATAAGAAATGAGGGTACTCCATTACGAACTTTTATTTTTTTACATCAATATGCGAATATTGAGATGTTCTTTCCCTGCATGAACTACTGTTAACCATTAAATTTACATCACACAAAAGGATAAGCATATAATTATCATGGATGAAGTATATCATCGTACGTGGACTACAATAATTAATGGATTGAATTGATGAAAAAATGGCCATCAAAATCTCGAATTGGCGGAAAACCCTAATCCAA